CTCTCTCTCGGTGACATCAAAAAAGCAATCGAATTCTTAGAACATGGTCTTAGTATCGCAAAAGAGGTCAGAAACAAACCTTTAGAAGGAGATGTATATCGAAATCTTGGGTTTGCATATCAAGGTCTCGGGCTTTTCAAAAATGCAATTGAATACCTTCAAAAGAATCTACGTATTACCAAAACAAGCGTTCAGAGGGATACGCAAATGTAAACCTTGGAGCTCTTTACCACTGTCTTGGCGATCGCGAAAAAGCATACGATTGCTTTAAGCAGGGTCTTAGTATCGCAGAAGAGACTGGAGACAAAGAGTTAGAAAAAAGTGCATATGATGACCTTGGTAATCTTCACCGCTGTCTCGGTGATGTTAAAAAAGCAATCGAACTCATAAAGCAGGCGCTTATTTTCTTTAAAGAGACTGGAAAGAGAATGGAAGAAGGAGAGGTATGTTTGACCCTTGGTGGAGCTTATTACCATCGCGGTGATCTCACATAAGCAATGGAATTCAGTCAGCAGGGTCTCATTATCGCAAAAGAGACTGGAAGCAAAGCTTTGAATGTAACGGCGTCTAGGAACTTTGGAGACATTTATGAATCTCTTGGTAACTTCTCTGCAGCTGAAATTTTTTTCAAATCAAGTATCAGCCTGGTGGAAAAAACGAGGGTTCTTCTTCAAAACAAAGACGAATGGAAAATCAGTTTTCGGAATAAACATAAAGTTTATAATTCTTTATGCGGTCTTCAAGTACAACAAGGCAAGATATTCGAGGCGCTTTTAACAGCTGAGCGTGGACGAGCACAGGTTCTCGCTGATCTCATGAAATTTCAGTTCGGCGTAAAATCAATTCAATCAATGTCAGAAGGGCAGATTGAAAGAGAGTCTAACTTTCTAGGCCATATTTCCTCACCTGCGATATTCATCGCGGAAGACCGCCCCAAATCACTGAACATTTGGTTACTACTAAAGGGACAAAAGTGGCATTTCATACGAAAGGAAATGAGTCACCGATTAACTTGTTTGACTCACGCTTCATACAGACGAATTGGTGTTCATAATGGTGCCAGGTGCGAGGATCGCTCCTTTGGTGGGTCAGAAGATTTAGAGATCGAAACGTTTTTCGATAGGGGTTTAAATGAAACAGAATCAACTTTCGCACACCGCAAGTGTTGTCTGTGTAATGCATTGGAAACATTGAATGAAGTGATTTTTGCTTCCATTTCACACTGGATAACAGGCGATGAAGTTATCATTGTACCTGACGGTCCGTCATTCTTGATTCCTTATGCTGCCCTTGTGGACCAGCATTCCAAGTATTTGTCTGAGAGGCTGAGAATTCGATTAGCTCCGTCACTAACCACCTTAAGGCTGCTGACAGAGTGTCCAGAGGAGCACCACAGCAAGTTTGGTGCATTGCTTGTTGGGAACCCGTGGGTGAAAACTGTACGTATCAAAGGCTGCAAACCGTTTCCGCAGCTTCCAGGTGCAGAGAAAGAAGTGAACATGATTGGAAAGATAATAAATATTGAGCCTCTCACTGGAAAGGATGCTACAAAAAATCAAGTTTTAAGCAAGCTTAACTCCATCTCTCTCGTTCACATAGCAGCTCATGGTCGTTAAGCAACAGGCGAAATTATTTTGTCTCCCAATGACGCTAGCTCCGAAAGACCCAGAGAAGAAGACTTTCTTTTGACGATGGCCGACGTGTTGAATGCCCAATTGCGCGCCAAGCTTGTTGTCCTAAGCTGCTGTCATAGTGGGCAAGGAGAGATCAAAGCCGAGGACGTGGTAGGCATTGCACGTGCCTTTCTAGGAGCCGGTGCACGTGCCGTTATTGCGACACTGTGGGCGATTGACGATGCCGCCACTCTGGCGTTCATGGAACATTTTTACGAGAATCTGATGGCAGGACATAGCGCAAGTAGGTCCCTCAATCAAGCCAGGAAACAGATGCGGGAGTCTAAGGATTTCAGTGCTGAGAAACACTGGGCTCCATTCACGCTGATTGGCGATGACGTGACATTGGATTTTGGACAATTAAGGTAAGACTGTTAGGCGCGAACTTAAGGTAAAGAATTATATGACTTGGATTTCTTGATCTTTAGACTGGAGACATGTGGAAAGGAATCTTTACCCTTAAAAAGTAAATGCCGGAAAAGCGAACAACATACCGATGAAAACGCTCATTTAATCCAAAGGTAGAAGATGAGTCATGTTCATAGTTTCATCTACAATGTCATAAAAACAACAAATCATGATATATAGAAGTCAGAGGATGAATGCTTAACATCAAAATCGCTTATTCTTTTGAGCTGATGTGGACAGGTTTGGAAGTCAAGCATTTCCTGGTTATTTCTTGCACATAAATCCTTGCTAAGAGCTTAAAAAATAAAGTAGATCTTGCATATTACAAAACAAGAAGCTTGCTTGAACTGCTTTAATAGAGTAGAATTAATACGCTATGTTTTGGGGTAAAATAAACGACACCTTTACACTCGCAAAAACATCAGTGCAAGTTCAAAATCTTTAGTTAAAACAGTTTCTGCGTCAAGTCAAAAATAAAGTATACTCGGCTGTGCATTTTAAAGCATGACTGCCAAATCTTTTCATTTATTTGTTGAACATTACTCACCGATAGAACCTTTTTTCTTTACTTCTTTCAGTGAGACTGGCGCCGCAGCCCAGTAAGATGGATGGACTATTACAGTTTGATCAGTTGATGTTGCGTGTACATAAGACATTTAGTGGAGAGTAGCCGGAGACAATAATTGGAACGGAAGCTCTGTTCTTTTCTTTAGACACAAGTCAATTCTTTGTTTTTTATCTGTTCATATCTGTTTGTATCATTTTTTATTGACGAACTCATTAAACTAAACTGAATGCAACCAACTGGGAAATTTTATTCCTGGATGGCGGATTTAAAGAATAAGCCATTTCCGAGTTCCAAAACCTTCAACTTTCAAAACGAGGCTAAGTGCAAAACCTTTCTTGTAAAAACGAGTTTTATGTGCATGAGAAAATAATTCCTTCGTTGCACTTAGCCTCGCTTTGAAACAGAGGTTCAAGGCAACTCGGAAATGACCGAGGTTGCCTAGGTGTCAGGTGTTTTCTTTTCCCTCTCCTCGCGCGCCTCTCGGGCGCCGCTCGCGCTCTTGCGTGCTCGAACTCCCCCTTTCCTTCCCCTTTTTATGCACCTCCCACGCAGGCTTGAGCCGGAAGTTTTGTGGAAATCAAAGGCTCAGGCGAATAAAAGCCTCCAAGAAGATGAACTTTTGAGTGTTCTTTTATGTCTTCGCGCTGCCTTTTTCATCAAGTTCAAATTATTTGGCTGCCAAAAACTTTTAGTTTTCCAGTTATTTTCTCGCTCTATAACTCTGTATTGTGAAAACAGAGCCACCTTTAGCTGACTGGCAAACTGAAGCAAGGTTGACGACGCGAAGGCTACGAGCAGTCTCTCATTTTCCTCGTGGATAGAGGAGGGAGGAGAGTAATGCGTGAGCCCGCGTGAAAATCACCCACCAGGAGGAAGGTGACACGCAATGGGAAGAGGGCTTTTTACGCGCCCTTTCTTCTTCCGCTCTCTCTACTATCCTTGAGAAAAAACGACCTGAACAATGGCTACTGGTAGTCTAACTTTCAGGCTCTGCTTCCATTCCCACACGAAAAAAGAGCTTAATCCATGTTGCCTTACTGTACAGAGTCTTCCGTGGGTATCATGTCTGTGGTCTATGTCTGTGGTCGGACTCCAGAGAATATGGGAAGAGACATTTTAGGTTTACTGATGCTCGTGTCCGCTAAAAGTCGGTCTTAGGGGAATATAGTCAATATAGGAAAAGAAATTTGGAACTTATTGCTGCTCGTGTACGCTAAAAACTGGTCGGCTCCGGCCTAGATAAAAAAAAACCCAGATTTTTGGGGGATTTTTAGAGTCAAATGGGATGTTCAGGAAATTTTGGGAAATCTAGAAAAATTGTAGAAAATTTGTCACCGTCGGTCTTACCGCAGAGAAAATTGGAAGAGAAATTATGGACTTGCATCTACTGCTATTTCGTTATTAAGAAGTTACCATGGCGACATATCTTAATTTTTTTTAGACCAACTTTTTAGCTTCCAGCACTGATAACTAGAAAACTAAGCCGGTGACCGCTTCTTTTATTTTTGGACGATAGCTTTTAGCATTATAAAAGGAAAAGTTTTAAGGAGCGCGGTTTCTTTTGTAAAAGTAGAAAATAGGACATTTATACGCACTGGAAATTTCCTTATGACAATTGTTAGCATGGGACCGTGCTTAGTGGGAAAAATAAGCAAAAGACAGGGTGAACAGATTTCATGCATCGATGTTTTCTATGACAGAACAGAGAAGACGCCGTAACAGACTGTCACTGATGGGGAAAAAAATATATTATTCTATTTCCACTATAAAATTCTCATCTGCAGAGAAAGGGACAGGGGCATCAGGGGTATCAATCTTCGAGCTCCTTGGAAGAAAAAAAAAACCACTCGATAGCTAGCAATTACATTTTCCATAATATTATTTCAGTTAAAAAGCTATTTCTTTCCTTAGTAAATTAGCTCCTCTACGTCAAAGTTCGTCCTTAGATGCAGTTCTAGCACATCTAAAGGTTATATTATCTGACCCAGCATCTGCTGTGTTCCCCATCCTAAAAAAAAAATAACAAAAAATTGGCATTTATTAAATATGAAGTACAGCCGAAGCTTTTCTGAACAATGCTACTATAAAATCTTTCCTTTTTCTGTTGCCAGTACTTGTCAGAAGAAACTGGGCCGAATTAAGTTTCGCAGAGACTTCTGGCACTGTTACTTGGAACAGAGAAATAAACTGGCCAATCCACCGTACCTAAAAAGATGGCGACTGGTACATTTACCCACAGTTCTTAGCGCATGAAAACCATAAAATTGCTCATAAAAACGAACAGAAAAGTTTTATAAACTTCAAACCTAGGATAGGAATCTTGCTATTACAGGGACGAATTTCGCACCCCCCCCCTCCCCCCAAAATATGACTCTATGTGTGATTGGCCGTGTTAGGTTCGAAAGGAATTGTGGTAAAATGTACAGCCGCCATCGTTTTCCGTAAGGCGGATAGCTGACTGACGCGACGGTGACGAGAACGTCGCTTAAAAAAAGAATTTGCTTTCTCTCAGTCTACATCCCAATTATTCCTACCCACTTACTTTGTCAAATGCAGGCTAACCCCACTGAAGTTGAATTTCCAGGGACAATATACAAGTTCAGAAGAGAAAGAAAATTCCGTCGTTGCTTGTTTACGTTCTCGATAAAACGCGAAATTAGGTGAGGCGGGGGGAGTGGGATGAAAATAATGGGATTTTCATTAACCAATCTCTTTTTTTTCAAAAATAACTATTTTCGTTATTTAATTATTCCATTTCCAAAACGGACATAATTTCACGATTTGCATTTTTTTTAAAAAATCTACTCAATCATAAACGCAGGAACACTTTGAAATGAATTCTTAAGTGCTCCTAAGTGCTTTTGGGTAACAAACAGAAAATCATTGCTGTTGTTGTTCATGCTTTTTTTTGGAATACAGTTTTTGCATGGTCTTAAATAAAAACACAATTGTCAATGATGCAACAACGCTTTTCTAAGCAATTTGTTCCAACATTCCTAGCCTGCGTAGCAAGCATTTTCAGTTTTGGCCACGCAAGAAGTGAGACAAGGACAATTTTCGCGGTCTGTGACTCTCGTTCCTTGTTCTTTGCTCCGAAACCGAACGGAAACGCTTGCTACGCAGGCTACAACATTCCTAGCTTGATTTCTATCCTGATTTGTATCCACTCGATTATTTACCTTGTGTTTACAGTAACTTTATGGTTATGTTTCCCATCTGCGGAGTCTACATATGATCCACCTCGCAGGACAAACTTTGCCTCGTTTCCTTGGTCTTTAAATTCATCTGATACCCACTCCCATGCATTCCCTAACATGTCATACATTCCTAACAATAAAATACAATTCAAACACAGTTAGTTTCAATGGCGTATCCAGGGGAAGGGCCCGAGGGGCCCAGGCCTCCCCCTTATTTTTAGACCGAACTGAGGCCCGAAAAAAATTTTTTTGAGTCCCCCCCCTTATCTCAGGGTCTTGATGACCGGGCACCCCCCCCGCCCCATCTGAAGGTATGGACCCGCCACTGAGTTTGATGGGTTCCTTGAAACCAGCCCATAAAAAACGACCCACAGTACAGTATTATGGGATCATATAAAACCAACCCACATATCCAGGGGGGAGTGTACTCAACACTTGGGGTGTTTATGTTTTAAGTCAGGATTTTTTAAAGCACATATTGACATAATTTCTAGCTCTAGATCTAGCAGTATGCAAATGTTTGTCACATGAACCTAGTTTTGCAGCCTTTGCTTTCACAAGTCTCTTGTGGTAGAAGTTCAGCATCCGGAACCATTTTTGGTCCAGACTAACCAGAAGATCGTAGGTTCAACTCCTGTTGGGAGTACTGCTTGGATTTTTTCTTCTGAGCTGCCAGTGTCACTGACTGAAAAACATCTTACATCCCATATAAACAATGACATTAGTTCATCTGTAATCTACCTGGTTTTATATATTCCTTACCATATTTATTCTGAGCAGGAAAGGCATCTACTGGAGCAACCCAGTCAAAACCATCCTCATTTGTGTTCTCATCGGGAAATTTGCCCTTAATTAGTTTACCACAAAAACACAACAACAACAACAAAATATAGAACATTTACATCAGTAACATTATAGAACAAAATTCATTATTAATGGTAGCAGGGGCGGATCCAGGATTTTTTTTAGGAGCGGGTGCACTCGTCTCTTGCTGTACTTCAACACCAATAAACCACATAATTTTTTTTTTTGCAGAATACCAGTTGTATAAGAAAACCGCAGGTCATCTCAGGGGGGGGTGCGCACCCCCTGCACCCTCCCCCTAGATCCGCCCCTGGGTAGAATAAATCACACTTACATCCAGAAATGCAAGAAAACTCGAAAATTAGATACTTCAGACACATCAGACACATATAAGAAGTACTGTAACTATTACACTATTTCTAATTTCCACATGATTGGAGAGAGAACAGCATGCATTTAGATGATCCACTAGGTTTAGGGCTCGGAGACACTTTGTGATTTTCATTATCAGGAGAATGAATCCAGTAATTAACTTGCAATCCTGGACATTACTAAAAGTTTTGAACTTATCAACATCATTTTTACCATCTATCAATAACTAATTAACAAAATGGAAAATTATGGACAAGGCAAAACAAAGTTAATTTCATATGTGACAGTGAACAAAACTGTAAGGACTATTAATACTCTGCTACTTATCATGGCAAGAAATCACTCAGTCTTTGTAAATAACAATTTGACCATGCAGTTACCTGCCAAATATTCATTCGCCTCTTCTGGAATTCAGCCCCCCAAGGGTATTCTCTTTCTGTTAAAGCAAAAAATATGTAATTTACATTGAAATCACCCAAACTAGGTAAGTATTCCATTAAATTAAATTAGGACCAGAGGAACTTAAGTTATTATTTCCAGATGATCTAGTACCTCATAGGGGAATCAATGGAGCTGCAAGGCTAGCTACTTAACTAAAGGGTACTTTCCATTTGTCAGAACTTACTGGCCAGACCATTCTGACAGATGGAAAACACCCTAAAGGCCAATTTAGACGGTACAATTTTTGCTTACGACTATCTTGCGCGACTAGCATGCGTCATCACTTCACGACAGATCGTGTTGGGTAAATTAGACCCACGACATCCGTACGATACATTGTGGATGTCGTAAGTAAAAATTGTACCGTGTGGATGGTAGAAAGTTATGACCTACGCTTCGCAGTAGTCGCGCATGATAATCGTAAGCAAAAATCAAACCGTCTTAATCAGCCTTAAGGCCACCTTTCAAGACTTCCTAAACTGTAGGTGTTTCCTGGTAAACAATATTTGACATCGATTTACATATATTTACACTTATAGTCCTATACTCAACCAAGGGACATGGCATAGTGTCTACAGGTATTATCGCAGTGTCTGTATTAACTTAGCAGGTTCTCCAAAAAATGATTGTGAGAAGGAAAATCACAAATAACCAGTGTCCATACAGTATTAAAAGCTGTGTTGTGATGATGTATGATTTTTAAAAAAACATAACCTTTCAGCCCTCCTCTCACTGCAAATTCCCATTCTGCTTCTGTTGGTAATCTCTTTCCCATCCATTCGCAATAAGCCTTGGCGTCATTATAACTAATATGCACAGCTGGGTGGGACATCTTTTCTTTTACAGATGTTCCAGGTCCTCCTGGCTAAAATGTGTTTAAAGTATAAAAATGAAAAGTAAATACTTAGTATAATTAAGGTGATAGAAATGTGATTGTATTTTTTTTATAGTATAATATTATTATTAGGGGTTAACCTAATTCTGACCTCAATGAAGTTCATGCAAAACATTTAACAAAATAACATCACACAAAATTTAGAACATAATGATGATGGCAAAAACCTGCCGGAAGCAAAGGTGGTGCAGTGGTGAGTAAGCCTCCCATGCAAACGTTCTTAGTGCGTGACGAAACCTTAAGAACGTCGTCTGCGTGGGAGGCTAGTGGTGAGTGCACCCTCCTTCCCATCAATGTGGCCCCAGTTCAAATCCCAGCATCAACACCATATGAGGGTTGAGTTTGTTGTTGGCTCTCTCCTTATTCTCTGAGAGGTTTTTCTCGAGGTACGCTGATTTCTGTCCCTCCTCAAAGACCAACGTTTCCAAAACCAATTCGAACAGGAATCGGATAGATGAAGAACCACTATAAGTGGATGTGCTACCTCTAAATTATTTATTTATTCATTATTTATATGACTTGAATTGAAGGAGTTCAAGCTAAGGTTGCCAGTGATTAAGTACTACAGTAACTAGTCTACAGCATAGATCCAGTCAAAGAAACTGGTACACTACAGTTAGCCCAATGTACAGTATTCATTTTGTACATCATCCTACAATTTCATAATGTGTAGAACATTCTTATTTTCTTGCTACCAATAATAACAGACCTGCCTCCAGTATGCCTGTTGCACTGGCAGCCACCATGGTGCTCCCTGAATTGAAGGGAAAAAAATGAAGGCAATTAATGTATGTCAGTTTTTTTTGCCATAAATATTAATTATAGTGTTATATATGCCAAAAATGTAAAGATGTGCTGTTCTTGCTTTGGCTTGGAGTTATTAATTGATCTCTCTATAGCAGGGTGCAAAGAAAGTCAGTTTTACTGAGCACTTGCCATTTGAGCAAACTGTACCTAGCACGTACTAGCCCAAAGTCATTTCCACTACCCGGAAATTAAAGTATTTTTGATGAGCAATGATTACATTTCTTCTGTAGTGTGAATCCCGCCCCCCCACCCCCCCCCAAAAAAGTTGCTTGCCCATTGGGCATATTAAGAACAGAATTCACTAGCCGGATAGCCAATTCACTAGTCCCAGGCTATCGGACACTATTTCTTTGCACACTGTACTGGGCAGGGCATTTGGGTTTACCACATTGTTTTTCTCTGATGTGCCACAAATTTGTGCCCATGCAGAGCAACCTCTTAGACTGGTATTATTCATCACAAGTTACCCAATGGGGCAAGAAAAGTCCATGGCCCATTTACACAGCCTAACAATTTTTTCAGGGGCATGTGATTTCAAATCCCACATCTCATGTAAACTAGTACTGACTTCAAGTAGACCATTTCCGCAAGTTGCCTCTAGCCTCTGATGTGAAAATTGCAATAAAATCGCCAAGACATTGCCATAAAATTGCAGTAGAAAAAATCTCTTGAAAAATCATGTCAATAAACAAGACTTTTAGAACAACCAGTAAGTAATTAGACATTTTTTTTCACATTTGAAAAATTATTAGCTGGAAAGATTTAACACTTTTAAAATCAGTTTAAGAGTGTATACATTCAGAACTAGCGAAGATAAACCCCTGCAAGGATACAGATGACTGTATTGTTGGGGTAAGTTTGTGCTGGCGCTCATCACACAAGACGACTATGAAATGTTGTTCCTTTGCATTGCAAAGCTATATTTTCACTGATTTTCAAAAGATCACTGTCAAACTTGGCACGCTTTCTAATTTATTTTAAGACTCTTTTTCCACAGTGTCAATAGATATTCACTAAGTGATCCATGTCAAAAAATGAGGGGAAAGTGGAACGGTGCAGGTATGAAGCAATCACTTCAGGCATGCTGACAGGTTTAAGAAGTTTTGTATTTTTTTTGTCTCACTTTGTACGGAGCGAGGCTAACGGGGTCCATTTCTAAGAGGAATCCTTTTGAAACAACCACGTGGACCCCACGAGTATCTTTTAAAACAAACATTAAAAAAAACGTGATGTCCAAAGAACTAACCTACCGGGACAGATTGCGTTATCTTGGATCGGACTTCCTCAGGGACGAAGGTACGAAAAACAAAACTCCAACCAAACCGTTCCGCTTCGGTCTTGAATTTCTTGGCGCGAACAAACTTTCGAAAATTTTCATTAGTAACGGGATATTTGTCAATCACGAACGGTTTTACTCCGACTGTTTTGGTGGGTAATTCTCCGCGTTTGGTGTCTGCAGATGAACTTCCCATACGAAATTTACCGCCCAGAAGAGTAACGGCTGCATTGTAGCCATCATCGTTTTCTAAGGACACGTTTACAATCCAAAAAGAGCACAGGAGAAAGAGAAGCGAACCAAGACCGGACGTCATTTTTGGTAAGGCGTCCAAAAAGGTGAAAAAATGATCGGAAAAGGATTGGGTAGAGAGAGCCCAAATCACAGGTAACCCAAGCTCGATGAGCTTGATTTAATTGTGATTTGACTAGCCCGCGAACGGTCGGCAGACGTTTCTCCTCGCTCATCGCCGCTAAGGGACGTTTCGCGAAGCGGGGAAGAGCGAGGAGAAAAGTCTGCCTTTCGCAGGCTATGATTTGACAAGCCCCTAGTCTGTTACACAGCCGTTTTTAGTGTCGTCACGCCATGTCCTCCCCACAAGTGGGGAGGAGCGTTGCGTGACGACACGAAAAACGGCTGTGTAGCAGACTAACAAGTCCCCCGATTTGACATCGTCTGTGTTCGCAGGCTAGACGTGACTTGTGATGTGCGTTGAACATTTGCCCAAATCAGCGCTATCTAATGAAAAACGGCCGTAAACGGCCTGAAACTGGTACGTTAACACGTCGTTGAAACTTGCTGCCTCCGGAAATTTCCCGCAAAAAAGACAAAAACATTGGTGTATCATTTACCCTTTTAACCAAAATTTCCGGAAACTTTTTGTAAATGGTAAGAGAGCGGTTATATTTCCTGGTATCATCTAAGCTATTAAAAGGTTAGGGATGCAGATAAATACCTAAAGGATACCTCCTACCCATTTCCAATAGGAAAAAAGATTGGTTCTAAAAGGTAACGTACAATCAACAACAAAAACAACAAAGTTACAAAAAAACAACAACAACAACAACAACAACAAAAACTAAAGCCAACAAAAACAAATCAGACTTCCGGTGGTAATCATCAAAGCAGTCAAACTCACAATCAAAACAATTAAAACCAACAAACCCTAGGCTCATCATATTCAACACAATTAAACTAAACGCAAAGCGATCGAGTTACACATCATGGTAACAATCAAAACAACAAAAGCACGCTAATCAACATGGTAACAATCTAAAACAACAATGAGCGTAGTGATCGAGATAAACTAACATCAAAGCAAGGACTCGAGCTAGGACTCTAGTTAGGACTTTTCTAATTTATTGAAAGCGAAAAATAAAGAAATTAAAATAATAAATAAACAAAAATAACCCTGACCCTAACACTAACCCAAACCCTTAGCCTAACCTTTACCTCAAATTATTGCCACGAAAACCCTCCGCTTAAAGGTCATGTGACTTGAACGAGGTGAAAATGACAGGGAAGCGAAAAATTGCCCATTCCTGCGTCGAGGACTGGCTTGAAGTCCTGGCTCGAGTCCTGGGGCCCTTTTCCTTAAATCCCGATAACTTTTCGGGCCCGAAAAGTGCTTTTATGTATCCCGTATTTGATTTCAAGACCAAAATTTCAATACTTTTGAACATAAAACAATGAATATAAGAGTTAAAAAAGCAAACTTCACGGGTCTGTGAGCAAGGAAACGTGCGACCATTCAACAGCTTTAGATTTCAAAATTTGCCTTCAGACCCAAAAAGTTACCGTACTTTCAACAAACGGGCCCCGGGCTCGGTATATAGGCATCCTCTTGGTAGTCATCACGGTAACAATTAAAACAAAACCTAGCGCGCTATTCATCATGGTACCAATGAAAAACCACAAAGAGCGCACTAAAAATCATAGTACCAATCAAAAACAACACAGAGCGCGCTAATCATCATCGTAACAATCAAACTCAACAAAGAGCGCGCTAATCATCATCGTAACAATCAAAAACAACAAAGAGCGCGCTAATCATCATCGTAACAATCAAACACAATACAGAGCGCGCTAAATTCTATTGTAACAATCAAAACAACAAAGAGCGCGCTAAACATCATCGTAACAATCAAAAACAACAAAGAGCGCGCTAATCATCATCGTAAGAATCAAAAACAACACAAAGCACGCTAATCACCATCATAACAATAAAAAACAACACCGAGCCCGCTAATCATCATCGTAACAAACAAAAACAACACACAGTATGCTAAACATCATTGTAACAATGAAAAACAACACAAAGCGCGCTAATCATCAGCGTAGCAATCAAAAACAACACAGAGCCCGCTAATCATCATCGTAACAATCAAAAACAACAAAGAGCGCGCGAAACATCATCGTAACAATAAAAAACCAACATGGAGCGCGCTAATCATTAGCGTAGCAATCAAAAACAACACAGAGCCCGCTAATCATCATCGTAAAACTCAAAAACAAAACAGAGCGCGCTAAACATCATCGTAACAATGAAAAACCAAAACGGAGCGCGCTAATCAACAGCGTAGCAATCAAAAACAACACAGAGCCAGCTAATCATCATCGTAACAATAAAAAACAAAACAGAGCGCGCTAATCATCATTGTAACAATAGGGTTTCTTAAGCAACAGCGTTTTTGAGGGACGGACGTCAACCGGAAGTGGAATTTTTGCAGCATTGGGCTGTGGTTTGGTTGAAATCCTTGGGTAAATCGTCTTTATAGGAGAAAAGAAACTCAGCAATACAAATTTGGTAGTGTCCAGGCACATAAAAAGGGAGAAGGCCTCACTTCCGGTTGACGTACGTCGCTCAAAAACGTCTTTGCTTAAGCTCCCTAATCAAAAACAACACGGAGCGCGCTAAACATTATGGTAACAATCAAAACCAACAAAGAGCGTGCTAAACATCATCGTAACAATCAAAAACAAAACAGAGCGCGCTAATCATCATCGTAACATACAAAAACAACACAGAGCCCGCTAAGCATCATCGTAACATACAAAAACAAAACAGAGCGCGCTAATCATCATCGTAACAATAAAAAACAACACAGAGCCCACTAAGCATCATCGTAACATACAAACACAAAAAAGAGCGCACTAAACATTATCGTAACACTCAAAAACAACACAGAGCGTGTTAATCATCATCTAAACAATCAAAAACAACAAAGAGGGCGCTAAACATCATCGTAACAATAAAAAAAAACACAAACCCCGCTAAAGATCATCGTAACAATCAAAAACAAAACAGGGCACGCTAATCATCATCGTAC